TAACGCTAGCTGCGCTACATCCTTATACTTAACCTATACTCTGCCTACATCGCCTTAATTAAACACTATCTCTGCCTATGACCCTTAATTAAACCTACTCTGCCTATCAGCCCTTAATTACCCTACTCTGCTAACACCCGCTTAATTAACCCTTACGCTGCCGTAACCCTTTAAATTAACCTACTCTGGTGATTACGTTATTGTGTCTAGCATGCCTACTGGCACTGTGTAAGAAAACAAAATATTACTATTATTTGGCGCCCGTGCCGGTCCGTGTTTAGTGGCAGTGCGGCTGCGGCGTTTACATTGAATTGATTACGTGGATTAGATGTGCTATACATAATAATTAATATCTTGGTAATGTAAGATACAATTCGTGTTTATTTCCATCATTATCTGGAAACGCCCCATTAAGTGGAATTAGGATTAGATGCTTGCAATCTTGAGTGTAGCCCTTACACATCCCGCATACAGGTTATTGAATAAACCAATTCTTTTTACTCAATACTGCGTGAAGTAATTTATTTTGCTCATATCATTTACAGGAAATAAAATACATCGGAGGTATGAATATTGCGCATTATTTTACGCCACTGGTACATATACACTTCATAGTAATGTTACGCGTAAATGCGGGTCTTACGAATAAATACTTTGTTTGCTAAGTTTGCACTGGACGTAGAATAATATGGACTAACCATGACGCCTTCCAATTTTTTTTGTAATTGGTGTATGTATATGCATTTAACTCAATGAATTAAACGTAAATAAGGTGTCAAATACAAAACATGGATGTTAGTTTTTATCATATAGGATACCCAATTCCAGGTTAAAACATCATCAACTAACGTGAATCGCACTTGCTAACAGTACTCATCGGATGCTGTGCACGCATCCCTCCCATAAGCTAGGAGTGTTCCCCGAAACTTTGATTACTCATTCGCAATGATAATGATTGATAATGCCTAACGTGCCATAACCGCTAACCCTAAACGCTAATGACATAAAGTGATTACGTCACCGGTAAATAGGGTAAAGAATAAAAAAAAATCAGTTTCCAGCTTTTTACAAAATATTACAGTAAGTTCTGTTTACATTTTAATGGTTAAATTGCTGCATTACACTTACCTGATTTTACTACTATGTTCGATCGTGAACATACACTCGTTGACCCATAACTATAGCCCCTAACAAGCAATTAATGCTTAGACAACATTAATTCAAGATCGTCCAGGTTTTTTGGATTTTTAAGCTAGTTGAGAAACAATCTTATCAGGTAAGAATTTGACGATTGTTTAGTCCTCGTTCAGTTCATTATTTAATGTAAAAAAAACTGCGGAATTTTTTTTTTACAAATTTTTACCATAGGTAAAATTCGTGACGTAATCCTTTAAACCACAAAACTCCCATATAATGACCATAGACCATAATATATATATAATATATATATATATATTATATGACGGGCATTAACGACATTGAAGGCTTGGGAACCACTCCTAAAGGAGTATCCCCGATGGATGACTCATAGTACACATAAAACATACGGATGCTTCGTCACATAACCATAATTGGCTTATTAACGAGGTTGATATTACACGAACAAATGTCGTACTACTCGCAATTAATTTCACTTCCGACTGCTTTGCTTACGTAACGGATACAAAAACTGGCATACATCATTAGAAAAAAACAAGCATAATCGGAGTGCGGGGTGTAAAAATGCTGGCCATTTCCATGAGCCCGACATATGTAGCTCATGGACGAATCGCCTTTCAATCTCTTTTTACATGCTAAGCGTAGTTAGTGGACACACGAATAGTGTGATATGAAAATAAATACCTCAGAACTAGATCACAGTTATTTTTGTTTCAACTGCTCATAGTAAACGACTCTATCGCTATTCGGGTGTAGAATAATGTTCGCGCCATTGCGAGATACAACACACATATTGTATTATATGACGGACCACAAACGTTGACATTTAGGCATTGTAAAGGCACTCCGCAGTCTGACGAGTTTACAGTGCTAGCAATTACAGCATTTCCTTGTGTGTTGGCAATGCATCGTCTAATTATAGCAACAATATCCGCCTGAGGCTGTACATTTAACAAGAATGCAGGTAAGGCACCATAATTTACACCGTGGTTGGGATTCTAGCCTAAACTAAGAGTGCCTGAGATGATACTAAATTCCAAATACTGCTGCTCGTGCCGCCTCAACATAACAGCTTAGACTTCATTCATCTGAAATGCGCGCATATCACTACTACAACGCAACATACTAAACATTAGCATGAAAGTCTACGGCTAATTTATGCAATACCATCGATGACATTTCATTGGAAACAGGGAAAGAAACAGAGAAGAAACAGGGTTCATTTTCATCGTCTCCCCCATTTGCATCAGAGTGAGGCTAAATGTATTCTATAACGACCAAACGTATTAAATGCTATATAATATAATATATCATTACAGCACACACGTATATATATATATACACACGCACGCGCGCGTGTTATATATATATAACACTGTTAGTCCATTCATTCTAGAAAGTACTGTGATAGTAGTACTCATACTAGAAAGCTTCATAAACCCCATCAGGGTTCTTCATTGATGGCCATCTGTGTTTAAGGCTGGTCCTGGGCACCATGCAGAGCGTGCACAGTGTCAGCTGAAGGTGTTTCTGTCACGTTTTTATCGGCTTAGTGAGGTGTTTGTCCGTGCTCACGCTTGTGAAGGTGTTTCTGGTACAGCGTGCTCCATCGGCTTGTGAAAGTGATTTCTGTCATGTACTCATCTGGCTTGTGAAGTGTTTCTGTCAACGTAGCTCTCGGCTTGTAGATGTGTTTCTAGTCAGCGTGCTTCCATCGGCTTGTGAGGTGTTTCTGTACGTGCGCATTCGCTTGTGAAGGTGTTTCTGTCACGTGCTCATCGGCTTGTGAAGGTGTTTCTGTCACGTGCTCATCGGCTTGTGAAGGTGTTTCTGTCCTGTACTCATCGGCTTGTGAAGGTGTTTCTTTCCTGTACTCATCACCGTCGTGCGAAATCGCTGTGGCAACGACATCAGACGATAAAGCCACGCTGATCGATGCTCTGTCGTTCGGTTTTTCTTGCGCGGGAGGCATGCAGCGGCCAGCGGCGCTCCTCTCCTCCTGCCCGGGCGATATGTCAGCTCCTCCATCAGCATCTTCAAGATGGTGTCTCAAACTGGCGTCGGTGGGTAGTGAATCCCCCGTGCTGCGCGGGAGGCGAGACGGGGCGACGTCGGCGGAGCCACGCATCCTCGGCAACTGGTGCGCGCCGCACGCGTCCGTGTGCCGTTCCTCCTCCCACTGCTGCAAGCTGACGCTGTCCGGAAAGTGAGACGCGCACGCGACCTCTGGCGCCACCTCGTGGCTGACGACGATGTGAACTGGGCTGTCTGGTCGATTCACGTCCCCCTTGTAGTTGGTGAAGAGAGATGGAATGGCTTCAACTGCAACCTGCGGGCGAATTTTAAAAGTACTGCTCAATTGCATGGAAAGCGTAATGCGAGAGATATGGCTGTAAAGATGCCTGCTAGGGGTCAGTGACAGTTATGTTCATATAGTTGGCTGCACACCTTGCAACTCCTCAGTACCTTTTATCAGGCTAAAGGCTAATCTCATGTGCATGTATGAACACTACCAAGAGTGAATACAAACAAATCTTAAAAACAATAAATATATAAAATAACATCGTTCTCATGCAGTCCTGATAGCGTGAATATTAATACTGCACAAATAATAAACACATCTATGCATGCACGTAAGTCTATGAGTATATAACAATATAAGCAGGTCTACACACTTGTATATCTGTAGACAGCCCAAGTTCTGCAGACTGCTGGGAAGTTAAAGATCCTGTCATCGGTATCAAGCTGACCGTATCTTCCTTGACTCCTGCATATGAAATATAAATCACTCTACACATGCACAGGCACACACACACACGCGCACACAAACATATACATATACATATTCATATATATATATATATATACACATTCATATATATAATATATATATATATATATATATATATAGACACACAAGCCTCCCCTCCAAGCTCATTCATCGAGGTCACGTCTTGTACTTTCTTGGCAAGATTGTTCCTTCCGCTCATCCTTCCCCGAGACCCCCTATCCGGGGTCGTATGCCCCATCCTTCCCCGGAGTTGCACCCTCTCCTTCCCTGACGAGACTGCCTCCTGCCTTTCCCCCCCCCCCCGAGGTGCTGCCCAACCCTTCCCAGAGGCACATCCTGTCCTTCCCTACCGAGGCTGCTTCCTGCCATTCCCTCGAGGTTTCCCTTCTCGCTGAGGTGTTGTAAGGAGAGCATACCTCTGGCGTAGGAGCAGGTTGACACGGTGCTGTGAGACGACCGCAGGCTGTGAGTGTCCAGCTGGCTGGAGCGCTGGCGAGCGAGCGTTGGGCCACCAGAGGGCAGCACCGCCTCGACCTCGCCACTCGCCGTCAACTCCGTGCTGCATGCGTCTAGCGTGCGACGGCTGTGTGACACACGAGAGGGACGCCAAGATTAAACGCGCGTAGCGCACGCCTTGCAGGACCGAAACCTAAGCAAGTACCTAAGGCCAAGCGAATGGGCAAGACTTCTCGGCTCAGGTGGGTAACATTTTATTATTATTATTATTAAACCATTATTGCATGTAATTCAAATACAAATACGTGTACTGAAGACATGTCTAGACTCATGGAGAAGAAATCTGATAGATGCAATAGTGTTGGGCGGTTAAAATAATAAAACTATGACAAGGGAGAGATTTAGCCACCGGTCAACGTGCATAGTGTGGTGGGGATGGGTGTGGGATGAGGAATTCATGGGCGGGTAATTGATCGTTAACAGTTATTTTAAGATTACTAACAGTTTTTAGGATTTTGCCCTCCTTCCTACCACTCCACAAGGCTAACGTAAAAAATCTGTATCTGCATTGATGGGGTTCACACTAGAAGAATGGGGGGAGGTTATTGTTTTCCTGCATTGCATTAAAATATTTTCATGGGGTTGCATGATTTCGCCCACTCAGCAATAACAAGGTAACGGTGCAGCTCCCAGTCAACAAGCGTATTGTAGTAGAGGTCTAGACCACTGATGTGCGTGCATGCATATTAGGCATGCGAGTGTGACATTTCACGGCTAGAGAAAGCGCGGGGTTATGAACAATGGAACGTGCCTCCCACGAGACATCTGACCGTCGGAGATGTGCCGTAGCCTGTGCATGCTCAGCGTTTCCAGGATGTCGGCGTCCATGTTGCCCTTGCACTGCATGATGAGATATTCCTCCAGGTTTCTACGATCTGACCTAAAGGAAAACCACTTGCTTATTACAAAACATTACTATTACTATTAGTAATACTGTGCATTCGTGTTCATGTTAGAAGCAAAGTTATAAAAAGCAAAAAGGAGCAGCTTAGCAAGTATGCGCAGAAAAACACACTAGTCAACAAGATGAACCTGACTAGATCAAACAAGATTAAAATAATAATAATAATTATTATTATTATTATAATAATTAAATTATAATATTGGCAGATTAAATGACAAGCTCAAGAAATTGAAGAAAATCAACAACTACAACAACAACAACATGATGAAAAAAACACACAAAAAAGATGAATAAGAAATAAAAAAACAAGAACACAATAACACAGACACAGAAGAAGAGTTAGATAAAGCTGAGCAAGCGGAAGAAGATTAGTAAGTTGTCAGCAGGAGTCATTACATCACATACAACTGCTGCTGAAGCTCCAGGATCACCTCCTCCAGCTGCTCTCTGTCTCTCCACATCTCGCGCTCTCGCAGTGAGAGGGCGCTAGCTACGCTACAATGCTGGTCGCTCACCGCCTGCAGCTGCCTGTCTCGCACATGCATCAGCTCCTCCAAATAGCTCTGTCGGTATATACCATAGAAATAGATAGATAACCGGTCATATATAGCGATATATATATTGATATATCAATATATATATATATATATATATATGTTATTATGACCATTAACGACATTAAAGTTGGGAACACTCCTAATGGAGTATCACCCAACATATACATACGGA